CCGCGATGCTCGGCCTCACCTGCCTGCTGCTCGCCGCGCTCTGCGGCCACCTGGGCGCTGAGATGGCGCGGGGGCCCGGCCCCGGCAGGTAGGAGGACGGGCTCCGCCACCCCTAGGCCCGGCCGCTGCCCGTCTCTGGGCGCCAGGCTGGAGGGCAGCGTCCCTCCCCACCCTGCTCTCCCCTCCCTTCCTTCATCCCTCCCTTCCTCCTATGTTTGTTGAAAATTTACAGCAGGTGCAACTACTGCAGCGACCCCCGTTTTGTGGATGAGGAAACCGAGGCTCAAAAAGGGCCCAGGCTCAGCTGGCCCTAGTGTCCACAGCGCTTGTCATTTATGGGGCCCTAAGCCCTACCCCCCTCCTGCTTCTGTGGATTAGCTCAGGGAAGACCTGCAGCCCCCTGGGCAGCCGTGCTGTTACTATCCCCCTTTATAACTGCATGTTGGGGGTCAGGGCTGGGTAGCTCTCTCCAGGCTGCCTGGCTTGGAAGTGGGTGAGCTGGGTATGAACTTAATTCTGGTAGAACCAGAGCCTGTGCCCTGGCCTGGTGGGGTCCCTTCCTCAGGGAGATGAGCTCTGGGATGTGGTCATCCGGGAGGGCCTCTATTGGGGAATGCGGAATGAGGAAGTTCCCTGAGCCACTGACTCCACTGTCCCACCTACGAGTGTTTTCCTCTAGGGCGCTGGTGGAGAGGAGCCCAGATTCTGGTCCAGGATTCTGTGTGGATTTGAGCAGATGGGAGCTTCCACCATTGGGGTAGATCCTATCCCAACCATGTGTGCTCCACTTAAAGGGCACTGAAATGCACACATTGCGTCAGTCTGCAAACATGTGTTGGGTGCCTGCAGGGGGCCGGGCCTGGCTCTGGACATCAGGGACACAGCAGGGACTAAGTGGACCCAGACCTGCCCGCATGGAGTCACGGGCAATAAAGAAGCAATACAGATGGCAGTGAATATTGGAAAGGAAAGAAAACGGGGTGATGAGGTGGAGGGGGACAGGGTGGGGGGTGAGATGGGACGGTCAGGGGAGGCCTGAGGCAAGACTTGAAGGAGGGAAGGAGGCAGAAGATCTGGAGGACTTGATCCAAGCAGAGGGCACAGCACGTACAAAGGCCCTGGGGCAGGAATGAACTTGGGGTGTTAGAGGGAGATCCAGGTGGTTGGTGAAGGTAGAGGGGGACATGCAGGGAGATGAGGGCAGGGAGATCAGAGAGACTGGACCATGTGGGGCCTTGTGCCCTGCAGTGAGAACTTTGGGTTTTACCCTGCCTGGGAGGGTTGTGAGTGAGGTGTGAGGTGATCTGACTTAGGTTTGGAATAACCCCCCTCTGGCCATTGTGCCAAAAAGCAGGGAAGACAGGGAAGTGTCAGGGAGACCAGGAAGGAGGTCGCTTCCATTGTACTGGTGGGAGGTGAGCGAGATGGAAGCCCCCCACTTCCTCCTCAGTGTCAGCTGTTGGGGTCACTCTGTCTACCATCATTAGCAGCAACTTCAGCTTCCCCATTTCTCAAATAAGCATATGGTCCATAAAATAGGGGAAGTCGGGTGTCTAACAAGTATCTGTACATAGTAACTGCTGTGTGAGTGCTGGATGTTCAAATGGACTGAGTATATGGATGGGTGATGGGGGAGGGGGAGGGGGTGGTGAATGGATAGTTAGATGGGTGGGGGATGGATGGATGGGGGAGGGCGGATGGGAGATGAATGGGTTTGATGGACGGATGGATGGATGGATGGTGGCTGTGAATGAATGAATGGGTGGATTAATAGGGCATGGGTGAATGGCTGTACGGCAGGTGATGATTGAATATTCGATGGAGATGGATGGTAAATGGATGGTGGGTATCCACCTGGAAGGATGCATGGGTGGATGGATGGATGCATAAACTGATAGATCCATGGATGAAAAGTGGATGGCTGGTTGAATGGATGGATGCATAAGTGGATTGATAGATGGTTGAATGGTTGGATTGATAAGTGGATTGACAGATGGACAGATGGATAGATGGATAGATGGATGATGGATGAATGGTAGATGGGTGGTTGAATAGATGGATGGATGCATGCATAGATGGACAAGTGGATGGACAGATGGGTGGATGCATGCATGCATGGAGCACAGAAGATGGATATCAGATGGGTGAATAGTGGATGTCTAAATGGATGGATGGATGGATGTACAGACAGATGAATGGATGATGGATGGACGGTGGATGGATGAATGGGTGGTGCATAAACGAATGGATGGACAGATGATGGTTGGGTCCTTACATAGACCTTGGGTCTGCAAAAGCTGGACCCTTATCTCATTTAGCCTACTCTCCCTTCTCACTGGCCTCCCCCACCAGCTCCACTTTCTGACCTTTTTTCCCCTGCTCCCATCCATCCCAGGTCTGACTGGTTTCTCTATGACTGCCGCCTTCTCAGACACGTGGCCCTTGGGCTCTTCTGCTGTGGGGTCTCCGTCTACTTAGCAGGTGTGTGCTAGGGGATAGAATGTGGGGTTTAGGACCCTGGGTTGGGGTGGACAGTGGTAACAGCCCCCTAACTAGGGGGTTAGCTCCAGAGCCATCCTGCCTGGGTTCAATTCTGCACTCGATCTTAGCCAAAAGGCCAAGAAGCGATCTGAGTTCAACTCTGGGCTCTGATACTTTCTTGATCTGGGGCCTTGGGCAAATTCCCACTGTGCCTCAGTTTCCTCATCCGTACAATGGGAATGACAACTGTCCATTCCTCACAGAATTACTTAGGGGATTCCAAGTCAATCCCTGTAAAAGCCCATAGATGGATCTGACTCCAGCAGGGGCTACACAAATATTAGTTATCCTCAGAACACATCCCACACGTCAGTTTTGCATATGTTTGGTTTGAACCTGGGTTCAACCACGGCTTGGGAGGTTTCTAAAGATAGTGTCATGGGCTGGCCAGTTAGCTCAGTCGGTTAGAGCATGGTATTGTGAACACCAAGGTCAAGGTTTCAGATCCCCATAGGGCTCAGCCAACAAAATAAATGAACAAAAACAAAATAAAGATAGCTTCTTACAGGTTGATATAAGTAAAAGCTGTTTTGTTACAAATACCAGAACCTCCAGCTCAAAAATGGCTTAAATATATATATATATATATATATATATACACACACATACTATACACACACACAATGTGTATATATATATGTATATACACACTTTATAAACCAGAAATACAATTTTATATCCCAAACCTTGAGGCAGCATGAATAATAATCCCCCAGATGCCAGAAAAACACACAACACTTTTTTTCCCTGAGTTGCTAAACTTTTCTTAGATCAACTTTCTCTCATCCANGTGAATGAATGAATGGGTGGATTAATAGGGCATGGGTGAATGGCTGTACGGCAGGTGATGACTGAATATTCGATGGAGATGGATGGTAAATGGATGGTGGGTATCCACCTGGAAGGATGCATGGGTGGATGGATGGATGCATAAATTGATAATACATGGATGAAAAGTGGATGGCTGGTTGAGTGGATGGATGCATAAGTGGATTGATAGATGGTTGAATGGTTGGATTGATAAGTGGATTGACAGATGGACAGATGGATAGATGGATAGATGGATGAATGGTGGATGGGTGGTTGAATAGATGGATGGATGCATGCATAGATGGACAAGTGGATGGGCAGATGGGTGGATGCACGCATGCATGGAGCACAGAAGATGGATATCAGATGGGTGAACAGTGGATGTCCAAATGGATGGATGGATGGATGGTGGATGGATGAATGGGTGGCGCATAAACGAATGGATGGACGGATGATGGTTGGGTCCTTACATAGACCTTGGGTCTGCAAAAGCCGGACCCTTATCTCATTTAGCCTACTCTCCCTTCTCACTGGCCTCCCCCACCAGCTCCACATTCTGACCGTTTTTCCCCTGCTCCCATCCATCCCAGGTCTGACTGG